ATTGATCATACCGTAATTTCCACAAGTTAGAAAAATCGTATGACCATTGGATTTCTTCTCATCAAAGAGAGACGATTTTTATTCAGTGGGTTTGCACTGAGTAAATCTCAGTACTATATAATAATTATTACGAGTTAATATTCAAAGATTTACAGCAGCTAGTAAAATAAGACTTTCTTTGATATAGATCAATTTAAAATTACAACACTTTTTCCTCCTATTTAGATCCATCCTGCTTGCAGGCCATAATTTTTTCTTACCAGTGAGAAGAAATTTCCGATTCTGTTGTCTAAGAAGTGAATTTATAAACGTCGGACAAATTCGAAGACGACAGGGCTACTGTACCTCGGTTCTATCGCCAGCCTCTCACCAGTCGATCGTCACCTATTTCAGTCGAAAATAAGCAAGCTTCGTGGATGAGCATCGAGCGTAATCCGCGTTTCGGAATACTCTTTCAGGAAGCTTGGCCTAAATGTCATCAAGAAGTAATGCCAAATACCCTTGCGCAATTAACTTTACAAATATACCCAAGTCCCACAAATTGCCCTCCTCCCTTCGCGACTTGGGAAATTTTGCCAGAACTTTAGGAATGCGTGTGATGATAGTCCTTATAATCCTTGGTAGTTCTCAGGTCTATACTATTACATACACTACGTACTGAATAATATTCGTCTTTTTTCCCCGCCCTCTCTCATAAAGTTGGATTCCAGTGTCGCGTGAGTTTTTGCGTAAGTTAAAGGTGCGTAAAGGTTACCCGTGTCCGCATTTTCCACTGCTGCGTTAAAATTAATAGCACGCTTTTTTTTTCGTGGGAAAAACGCAGGCCCTCGCGTAAAAATTGAAGCTGTTGAACTTTTCTCTGTACTCTTGCGATTGCAGACGTGCGTAAGATGCAATTAAACGCCTTAAAAACGTGTTAGTGGAAATAGGACAACTTTCAGCAGGAGCTCATGCTTTTGGTCAATGGATACGTTTCGTTGTGACGTAAACATTCATTTCAACATACGTAATTGTTTTTTCAACGCACGCTTACGAGCGTGGACTAAAGCACGACAGCAGAAATCCAGTAAAGAAGTGCGCCAATGAGTATCGAGGTGAATCTTTTGCCAGTTGTGTTACTTTGAAAATCGCCTCGTTTCCAAACATGGAAGACACATATACCTTAAAATGTCATGTACTGATGTACGACATTATGTAACAAATTTTGTGTCGCAACAAAATCTCAGATCTTATTCGATTTTTTTTCCTTCCAGTTCGCGCGATGTTTCTTGTTGCCTATTAATAACCGTTCCTTAATTCGATCGCAACACTTTTTTAAAAATTATAATATTTTAATTACAAGACAAGAAATTCATAAATATGACAGTGAAAGACCACAACCCATGCTTTGCATCATATCTTTTTACTCGATGGCGTATGTAGGTTTATCTCCTGCGGTCAGAAGTCAATCCTTTACTTCGCAAAAAAGGGAGCCCATATGAACTCCAATTATGAAATGAAATCGTTTCATATCAAACAAATTTAATGTGGTTACTAAAATCGAAGCAAAAACAAGCCAAATGCAAATTTAGCATAGCCACGTGCAAATCATCATGGTACAAGTTATCATCCTACAACATCCTCAGTTGAGGGTCGTTAATAATTTATATTTTGTGGCATCAAAAACTAGAAGTTTTAAAAGAAGTTACTGACTTTCCAAGCTGAGCTCGAGATTTCAGCAGTCTAAAAGCCAAATAAATGACTCTGAGTCGGGCTGAACATATTGATGCCAGCGAAAAATAAGCGCTCTTGTTTCAGTGACGAAATACATGTTAATTCATAAACATTAACAACGTAATAACGATTGAGAGTAGTATGTTGTTGATGTTCAGTCTGTTTGAGCCGTTCGGATTTTTCTCGTACATGGTAACCATCGTACCTTTGACGGTCTTCTCTACCTTTGTACAAGTTGTTTCCGGCACGATAATGATGTCGTAACTGGCGAGGCTTACAACTTCAAAGTCTTGATCCTTGATGTCTTCCAGCGACACTGTTTTGCCGACTCCGTGTAGTTTTTTCGTTTCTCCATTTTTGTACTTCACCGTGGTTCTCAAGTCAACCAAATGGTCGTCGATTCCTTCCTTCACAGTTTGACTCCCTGCTGATGTATCCAAACACAAATCTCCTTTGTCATCCAGCAGCCTTTCTCTCTCAAAGGTAACCCTCACTGCTCTTTTCTTCGGGATAGAGACATAACTCCGGTACATTGGATATCCCTGCCGATAGACAGGGGCATTGCTGGGCGCGTAGCGGTGCACCGCGTAAGCAAAGACAACTCTCTTGAAGGTGCTTGAACGCGAACCCACTTTAGTTTGTTTGACAATCACCGGGGAGCGAACTGAGGTGGCTTTGATTGGTGTGTATTTGGTGATTTTGGGTTTTGAGCTGGACCTTCCAGATCTAGATCTCGATCGACTTGATCTGGAGCCTCTTGAGCCACGGGAGCCTCCAGATCTGTCTCCACCACCACGTCGTCTTGTCTCTGATAATTCTACCATCACCATAAGCATGATGGCAACAAGCAACACTGTAGCGAATCGCATCTTGGCTAACAGTAACGACGAGTAAAACTGGGTTTCAAGTCAATTCCTCCTTCCAACTTTGGGAAAATTAAGTGCGTGTGATGCAGTCTCTATCACTTACTCTGCAGGAGGAAAACTACTATCCTCTGTGTTATATACGTGATGCAGTTCACTCACCACGGTTAATAAATTTGACCAAGATTATCACAAACTCTCAGATAAATGAGTGACCACGTAGACACTTGTCAATCAATTCTATTGCGTCAAAGCGGATTCTTGCTTACCTTGTTTTCAAGTTGTTTCTGACCCCTTGACGGAAGAACAACAACAACGGCCATCGTAACTAATCGCATGAGTTGTTTTCGAGGAGCAATAAAATGAATTAAAACCTTGCGTTTGTTTTCTGAACTTTTTGACACGCAAGTTGTGTCAAATGCAAAAGAGTGAGCCAAATGCTAGTATGCATACTTGAATTATTTCGATCTTTCAATAAACGTTTCTGTTAGCGCGTGGAACGTCAGCTTTTCTAGTACTTTTTATTTATGTTTTGTTCAGGTTTAATTTTATCAATCAATCCTTCCTTTACTTGACAAGTTCGTTATTTCAATCAGTTTCATCAATCAGCCTCAACTCACAAGTCCAATCGCAACTTCGCCCCTTTCAATCCCGATAATTCAATGTGATTTCACACCGATTTCTTTATTCCAATTTGTAAGTTTGATTATCGACTGCATTTAATTAAACCTTGATTTTTCCGTGTTTCCGTGGACGAGAGGACAATGGCTGAAACAGTTGGAAAGTTCTTTCTTAGTCTAAAAATTTTACAAACCTGCCATGTAATCAGAAAGATTATATATTCCACACTTGTTCTCAGACACTGACAGCCATCTCTGAAAGTGTCTCTAAGGATTTCGCAAAATCGAGGTTTACAGTACAGTAGAAGTGTTGCAAACTACTGTTTAACGATCTTTTCACGAAAATAAACGAACTATTGACCTCAAAACATGCCTCCTCAATTGTGGTAGCTATTGTCGACCACGGAAACAACGCACTGACAGCCGATCACGTGCGACCTAACAAGTTTCCAATTTATCGTGCGATGGTCTATCATTTATCGTGCGATATTAATTTTATCGCGCGACAAATCTCATTTATCACGCGATAAAATTGAATTTAAAAAATGGATAGCATGTCCTCTATGGGCCACCGTAGATTCCGTAATGAAAAATAACTTAATTGCATCGTAATCAATATCATATTAGTCGTGCATAGCTTTCACGCGAACACATTTCGTTTATTTAGCAAATCAAAACATCCTACTTAAATTGTATTTACATAATAAGAACCTTTTTTTTTAACTACGGATTAAGTGTCATCGGTAGCGATGCAGAAAACACAAACAAAATGCAAATTTAGCATTAGGTTATTACCAGTCAAATGAAATTGCCGAATGGCGTGCCATGCATAATTGATCGTCACCTAACTGATGAATATCAAATTCTGATTACATACTACTTTGCGCGTAATAAGAGATCGGCGATCAAATTGAATCGATCATCTCTCGAATACAACGGACAATCTAGACACAATGGCCAGTCCGATGCTTACTGTTGGTGAATAAATGTTTTGACTAATACACACAACGCAATCAAAATTGAAAGGAGGTTGTTATTTCCGTTCAACTGACTCGAACCGTTTGGATTTGTCTCGTACATGGTAACCATCGTACCCTCGATGGTCTTTTCCACCTGTGTACAAGTGGTTCCTTTAACAATCGCGACGTTGTAACTGGCGAGGCATATGACTTTGAAGTCTTGATCCTTGATGTCTTCCAGCGACACCGTCTTATCGACACCGAGTAGTGTTTTTGTTTCTCCATTTTTGTACTTCACTGTAGTATTCAAGTGAACCAAGTTATCGTCAATTCCTTCCTCTATAGTTTGATTCCCTGCTGATGAACCCAAACACAAATTTCCTTCCTCATCCAGCAGCCTTTCTCTCTCATAGGTCACCCTTATAGCTCTTTCCTCTGGGATAGATACATAAATCCGGTACATTGGATATCCCTGCCGATAGACTGGAGCGTTGCTGAAAGCGTAGCGGGTCACCAAGTAGGCAACGACAACTTTCTTGAACGTGCTTGAACGCGAACCCATCTGAGTTTGTGAGACGATCACTGGAGAGCGAGCTGAAGTAGCGGTGATTGGCGTGTATTTGGTGATTTTAGGCTTTGAGCTTGATCCTCCAGAGCTACTTCTCGTTCTACTGGTTCTGGAGCTTCTATAACCTCCTGATCTCCCTCTTGTTTCGGATAACTCCACCATCGCGATAAGAACGATGGTGACAATAAACACCGTGGTTAATCGCATCTTTGTGGAATTCTGCAAAAAGTCAGTTCTTCTTCGATCGATCTCTTCTTTACTTATGTGAAAGTTTGGTGCGTGGGCGCAGGAAAATAACTGTTCCGTGAAGTGCGTAGGCGGTGACATATTCAACAGATGGGGGGTGGGCTCAAATCCTAAGAGCTGCTTTCTTCCGCAAACAAGATTTGACCAATCATGCGATAAACAAGTAAAAGACATGAAAATATGATGTAGCAGCCCAGTCAGTTGTTATGGCTTGTGCCACAAAGAAAGGTTTAATTAGCCAATGTGAAAATTAGGCCAAAATTAAGGATTGAAAAAGCTCAAGGAATTGGAGCATGGATATACCCATGATAATAAACAAGCTGAAACGCTGGAGCTTAACAAATGTAATACGTGCCAGAAAAGTACGAAACTGACGATCAGCTGTTCAAGTTGGTGTGATACGGTCGACAAGACAAGACTTGCAGCAACGTTAACCAATTTCTTTAAATCTGTAGGAATTTTATTATACAGAAATTCTTTTGATCTAGAAAATCAAGACCGGTGCAATTTTAAATGTAAATTTTTATTAATAATCCACTGTCATTAGTTCTGAACTAGGGATGAAGATGCCTGTAATTTTCTCACGCTCTGTAAGTCTTGACAGATATCCAAAATGGAAAATACAACATTTATAGTGTAAAATGAGCAATAACCTGTTTTTGTGGGACGAAACCTGATCAGAAATAACGAACCAGATATTGAAGATTAATTGTGTACTTTTTAATTTTCTTGCGTTAGCTAACGAGCGTAATAAATTAAGTGTCTTTACATACAAAGAGTTTACATGTATTTACGATCAAATTGCGTTTTCCCACTGCTTATGCATAACGCTATCATAGTCCCAGAGACAACAATGCTTGCTTACTCATGTAATGCTGCAGCATATTTTCATTTGTTCACCTTCCACACATACCTGTGCTCTTTTTCTTCGTTACTCATGGTAAGGAACCTACAGTCAAATCTCTTTAAAATGCTAGACTGACTATGATTGAGTTTACGTGCAACAAAGACACAAAAAATATTATGATTTTCACTTTGAAATGAAACTTGACTCGAAAAAGTTTTTGCAATTACATAAATGATAGCAGGTTTTAAGTTTCTCGTCACTAACATTTAGAACAGTTAGTATTTAATGGTCATAAATGTAGATTGAATCTACCTTTGCACGCAAAATACCTAAAACCTCCTATAGCTCCTAAACTAACTTAACCGTGTAATATTTAGTAGAAAACTTACCAGTAATCATAAAATATACTATTTTTGTTTATCAAATCGCAAGAGAAAGCAGGATTGGGGAATATCATCGTCATTGGCTTGGTACTGGTCAAAATGATAACAACAATCGATGATGATTATTTTTATTGATCGCATTATAACTTTACTATTTTCATTGTTATTTCCGTTGTTATTGGAAGTGTTACTGACTTTGATAAATCATCAAGTAATGTTTGTAAAGTTTGTTTCCTCCAATTGATTGTCATATAGCGTGACTTTAAGATGGGTAATCCAAGGTACACTGAGGGCAAATCTGTATTGCGTGACATTTTCCCAAAGTGCATCCGCTTTTAAACTCGAATAAGAGGCCTTAGCATCCAATTACCTTTCTTCCCATTTGATCCTAAATAACGATCTACAGAGTTATTTTTAGGGATTATTGAGACCTCGGACTGAGCAGCTACCTAGTGGAGTGGACCGCATTATTTTTTTTCTCTGTTCGAGGTTCCGTCATGGAAAATAACTTAAACATCATGAATATCAATCGTGCATGTGTTTTGTCACGCGCGCACATCGTGTTTTCTCAGTCTTTATTGGGAAAATTTTAAACTCCTACGTAAATGGTACTTGAAAAATGGAAATCCTTTCACCGACTACGAATTAAATGCCATTGGTAACATGACATTTTACCAAAAACAACTAGAATATATATTTATAATAATTGCATGTAAATTGTGTCCTACTACACCAACTGGCGGGCCGCGTATTTTCATTTAGTTCAGTGTGTATGATATCAACCTAACTAACCAGCCAGAAAGAGTTTAAAGATGTTTCATGGATACTAACTATGAGTAACGAAACGTGTTGATAAATACAAACAAAGTAACTACAGATGATAGTATTTTTTTGTTGATGTTCAGTTGGCCTGAGCCGTTGGGATTTGTCTCGTACAACATGACCATCGTACCCTCGACGGTCTTTTCCACCTGTTTACAAGTTGTTCCGGTAACAATCGAGGTGTTGTATCGGGCGAGACTTACAATTTCGAAGCCTTGATCCTTGATGTCTTCAAGGGACACTGTGTTGTTAATCCCGTGTAGTGTTTTCGTTTCTCCATTTTTGTACTTCACTGTAGTTCTTAAGTCAACCAAGTTGTCGTCGATTCCTTCCTTTATAGTTTGATTCCCTGCTGATGTATCCAAACACAAATTTCCTCTGTCATTCAGCAGTCTTTCACTCTCACAGGTCACCCTCACAGCTCCTTGCTCCGGGATGGAGACATAACTTCGGTACATTGGATATCGCTGCCGATAGACTGGGGCGCTGCTGAACGCGTAGCGGTGAACCGCATAGGCAAAGAGGACTGTGTTAAACGCGCTTAAACGTGATCCCAGTTTGGTCTGTGAGACGATTACTGGGGAGCGAGCTGAAGTGGCTTTGATTGGTGTGTATTTGGTTATTTTAGATTTTGAGCTTGTTCTACCGAATCCAGAGCTTCTAGAGCCTCCCGATCTGCCTCTACCACCACGTCCTCTGGTTTCGGATTCTTCCACCGTAACAAGAAGAACGACGGCAACAAGAAACACTGCGGTGACTCTTATCTTTGTTGACAACGACATTAATAATCGGGATGAAACTCAGTGCTCTCTTGCGATTTTTCCTTCACCGGATGTGCAACTTCCTGCAAACAAGATTTGACAAATCATGTACCAATAAGATACAGGTATCAGTTCATAAAGTAGTTGATATGTAATAGTTTGTAACGCAGATTACAAGTGTTAGATAGCCTACCTGGATCCCTTATGTCCAAAAAGATGATATAGGAACAAATGACTTAAAGAAAATGTGGTTCTACAAGTCGAAAATATTCATTACGGTGAACCTGATAGAAAGCCGCCAGAAAACACATGTATGCACGGATTAAGAGCATACATGCGCTCTGAGACTCGCTTAAAGCGCAGACCATTACTGTTTCAGAGCCTGCTTACATAAACGGACATCACCCGCTTTCATCATTATGGCAGTTCCTGGTTGGAACTGCCATGATTATGATACACATAACTTCCACAGCAACCCACCATTAGCTACTTAAAGAATCTTTATAGAGTATTTAAGCTGGCTTTGCTACAATGATATTGCACAGACATAAAACAATTTTCGAATGACGTTGAGCACGATATCATGAATTATCGAGGTATGAGTTATTTGCCGAAGCCGAAGTCAGAGACAGATAACACAGACGCGAGCTTTGATTCATGATATCATGCGAAAATATACTTCCATAATTATTTTATTATACATTTTTTAAACAGTCTTCAAAGGAAGACACTTCTCTCTGAGTTTACAAAAGTTTGAGAACTCTACATGGACGATGGGCTTGGAAACTGGGCCGACATTGACCACGAGATGATATATTGGGTTATTGCGTTAACTTTTTCACTTGCTATTGTCTATTGATTGAATGCCTTTGACCAATCAGATTTTTCAAAGTAATTCTAAAAAGTCCAATAGAACTAAATGTCATTATCAACAGATAACGCTTATCACAGATTTGGTTTGAGCGCAATGCTTGAGAAATCAAAAAAAAAAAAGAAAGAACATGGGTGAGGGTCAAAGTTTGACTGTTCTTCAGGAAACAAAGCCGAGTTTATATCATGTTATTTCATCTGTTGTCTGGGATTCTAAAGATAGTACAAGTTATTTGAATAATTACCTAGTTTAGCTGTCGGATGCGATCATCAAGACACTGTAAAAAAAAAAAACGGAAAATGAATCTTTATGTTCGAAAAAACGAACATAATGTAATAACATCATCTCTGTGTATCCAAGGACTTTAAGCACACGAAAACAACCTGGTGACGCAGATGTTTAAAACAATAAGTCCCAAAATCGAAGTTACCTAGTTTCATTTAGAAAAGCTTCTTCTGTTTCACTGTGCGGCTCAAAACTGTGTTTGTCGTGTTGAAAATAGGACAGTGAAAGTTTGGCGCGTCACAGTAGCCTAAGAAATTTATGACGAGGTGCGCGCGCTGGATATGCGAGGCAATTCGCCGCTAAAAACAACGGGAACCTAGGCAAAAAATGATACGGAAAAGAAAACCTTGAACTTTTTGTGCTATAACTATATCATTTGCAGTCCTCTGTGCTGCCTTTATAAGTTAAGTTAACCAATGTATCCAACTGTTTTGGTGGAGCCTTACATGAGTTCTTTCCCTGACGGTTTGAAAGATCCGGTTAGATGATTTTTCTCTTATTCAAAGATACAAATAAGTATATTCAATTAATTATCCATCATGGGCCATGGAGCTTACAGTGTAATTGCTGCGTTTCTTTTCTCAGACTCGAATGATATCTGCCAGCATCGATACTTCTCGACGTGTTTTTGAAACTCAGTAACTATACATTAGATCTCTGATAAGTAAAACCCTCTGATTTCTCATTCAAATGTTCCCTTTTTAATTGAAAAAACAACCTTTATGTCAATTTTCTTAGATACCATAGTTACGCAATATTCAAAAGACTCCTTTTGTAAATTTCTAGTATATTTCGGCCCTCTTGACACCGGTTCACAAAAATAAATGTTAAGATGAAAGGTCCATCTAAATTGAGAATTGTTTTGGACGGGGTTTTTTTAACAACGCCGTTGTTAACTTTGGGCTTAACTTTGTCTATGTAAGTGGCCCAAAGAGTTTCTTTTTCAAATTGATACTTGCAGGAGAATATAAACTTACATTCTTTTGATAATGCATGTAAAAATCATGCTACATATACCTTGG